TGTGGGTTATGAGGGATTACGCTCTATCTTCCGATCTAAGCCCCCGCGTCATTCCCCGTTGTCTTCTCTGTTCTGCGTGGAGCTTAAATGAGATCCTGGTATTTAAACGTATATTTACCGTACACAGAAATATATTTTTAAACCTTTATTTTAATTATGTATCAGTCTTGACTGACTGCTTTAAAAATAAATCTGACTTCACTTCTTCACCGCTTGCTGAGCTCTCATGATGGAAAGGGAGTGGGGGAAGAACCCCTCCGGATGTCTCCGTGTTCGGATACGAGTTTAAAATGAGATCCCGGTATTAAAACGCATATTTACAGACGCAGAAAGATGTCACACAGAAACTATTTTAAAACTTTTATTAAAACATGTACCAGACTTGACTGTTTTGTGTCACCAATGCCCGACCATCAATATGTTGATGCAAATCTTATGGGCGGCAGCTGTTTTCCTCCTTGAAAGCCAATTGCTTTTAACATGAAAGCTGCTTCATAAGAAATTCTCCGTGCTTTTTCCATTATCGCTGAACAAATGAACAGGTCTGTGCATGAAGCGCAAAATACGGTAACGACACCAAAACGATCTGAAGAAATTAATTCACGTCTATTTTGGGGGATGGTTCTCGAGAGTACCTCGTTGGTCATTCAGGTTAGACTTCTGGTCACATGATGACAGAGTGGGGGGGCGTTATGGTTGGGTATTTGAAACCATGAGCCAGAGTCCTCGTACATCTGATTACCTGAGGGCGTTCTCTCTGTGTCACTAACACCTGCCCCCGGGGGGGGGGGGGGTGCTGCTGGGAGCCATGAGCGCCCAGCTCTGTCAAAGGAAAATGTTAGTCAGTGGCAGGAAGTCTGTCAAAATAAAATATAAAAATTAAATTTTTGAAAATTATGAATAAAATACATAAATAAGGCTTTTACAACAGCAATTACAGTAAATGTAAAACCTCTCTGCTAGCTGCGCACATGACTGGAGTTGCCCACCCCCAGGAAGTGAAATGTCATCAGAAGACGCATGGTGCGATGCTTTGCATGACGGGATGAACCCACCAGCGACAGCCTTAAAGGGCGAAACCTATACGAGTACTGTTAAAAAAATCACACAATTAAATTCTAAGCTGTGTGAAGTAGGGGCGCTGCAGCACCCACTGATAAAGACCAGAGAACAAGCCATTAAACATCGTTTAAGAATTAATCATCTGTGTTCAAAATACAGCTCATCATGACAGTCACAGAGATTACAGCATATTGTCTCTAATCTGAGGACAACATCCATACATACATTATATTTATTTCATGTTTCATATCTTCTTATTGGTGTTTAAGGTCAATCAATTCATGCCCCCCCCCCCCCCCCCCCCCAACTAAAACACATTCCCACAGCTATGCCAGTGCCACTTATTTTATATTATGTTTTTATTTAATTATTTCTCTGTAGGAAAAATATTTTACTTTAGCATTGAGGGTGTTTATTTGGTCCAAACAGGGCAATTTGTATTGATTATGATTGATTTATGGCAGCAATAAAACATCAAAGGGGTGAATATGTCTTATAGACACTAATCTTTGTGATATTTCTGACACAAATACACTGCACCTTTTAGTTAATAGAATAAAAACAGCACGTCAGTCCTCGGTGCAGAATTATTTCTTAAACAGAGACCGCCAGTTTTAGGATCATAAGTTATTTATTTTATTTTTGTAGCATAATATTCACCAACTCGTGGATAGGGCAGGCACCACTTAAATTGTTTTATATTTAGTGTTGTAGAAATTGTCTTTATATTAAAATAATGTGTGTAAGCTTTATGTAGAAAAAGTTAAACCTATGACTCTTGCTGGTGTTGCTTCTTGTTTCACAGATGTGGTTTAATAAACCCCCCTTCTCTACCAGCTAGTAGCCATTAATGTAGGAAGTGACCATAAAAGCCTTCAGACTCCTCCCCCCTCCACACACGTTGATAGACACTGTGGTCCTGCCCTGTCCCAGCGCAGCGTCAAGTTGCCCTAGCATCTTAGGCTTTGCTCCACGTTTCTGTGAATGTTTGACTCATCTCTATGGGCGGCTTTGTTGGGGCCCATACCAACCTTGTTTAGTCCCACAGTGTTTCGTTCGGCCCACGGAGGCAAAGAAGGCGGCGGACGAGTCCAAGATGAGGTTCGCTCACATCGACGGAGACCACCTGACGCTGCTCAACGTCTACCACGCCTTCAAACAAAGTGAGTAGCAGTCCAAGCTTTCTGTCTTCTTGTAAAATGAGTTTTGACCAAGCTGAGGGTTTCAGAACAACCTGATTCATTGTTACTTTAAGAACTGGACAATGAGTCATTAGAAGAGCTTCTTTGGCAGTCCTGAGCATGATGACATAGATGTTTTTACTTCTTGACTCCTGAAACGCCGGCTAATCTTTACTGAATTGGTTTCTCTTCTAACGTTTGTTGAAGCTGCCCAGACAAGACAGTCACAGGAGAATATTATGATTACAGCTTCTGCTTATCAAAGTGATGACTGAACTTTAACCACTTGGATGGATTAATCCTGAAAACATATGTTCTACTTTTACTATGGATGGGGCCGATCCAGTATCGGTATCGGCCTCCGATACCAGCATAATTTACGTATCTGATTTGTCCGATCCACGTGCCGATATTTCCGATCCATTATGCATTTTTGTGGTTACGCTGCACGTTGGCTTCAAACTATGGAATGGATTTCCTTAACGGCGGCGTGTCTCATGAACCC